AACCAAGCCTGACCGAGCACTAAGTGTCTGGCTCATTAATGCACTAATATTGTATGCTATAATATAATGACATATTTCCATTGGTAAAGGTGACGGTTCTTTACTAACGAATATTTCGTGCAAATGTGATCATTTAACATTTTTATACGTATATCCGTAGGTGAAGTAAATCAATTTTTTCAAAAAAAATATTTTATCATTTTCGCCAATGATCAATCTAATCACGTGAGAAATTCGTAGGTGAAGTAGTTTACCAACTCTACGTATGACATCCAATTTGTTGGGAATTACGTGTTTAAAAATGAAATCAAGTAGCGTTTATTTCGTGTAGTTCACCACAGTCCTTAATATCTATGCCGAGTGTACAAAATTGATTCCTTTTCACTTGCTTCATAAGTTAAACAAATGTTTACATCGATGTCCAAAGAATGGAGCTAGCTAATTGAAAAGTTGTTCAGAAAGTTAGTCATAGACACATTTTAGATAAACTTGATGAGGATGATTGACGATCGATGAGACCAAACTGAATAAAGTGAAGTTTCTAGTCATCTAAGAAGATGATTCATCAACAATCCACTTTTGTCTAATGATATTTAGAAACACTCTCTCTATAGTGTAGTGATATCGAACCTTTTTTTTCTTTTTATGTCATAATCTCGTACAACATAAAAATGAAGTATACTTTTACTGATGATTATGATTTATTTAAGACAAGCAAGAATATGGTGATAAACTAGAAAAGCATTGTTGATGATGATTATAAAAAGGAAATTTTAAGATTTACACTGCATTTAGGTGCGCTTACAATTTGCGTACTATTTGCAAATTACATTTTACATGCAGTATTTTTTAGTATTGTTAAGAGTAATGCTATTCATAGTCGTTCAAACGGTAGTCGCTACACGTGGCATCTTACATGCCGGTTTATGATTTGATATATTAATTTGGTAGTTTTTTCCTGCCACATATATTAAATAATTAATCGTCGCATGTCTGTCACGTAGGACGATTGTGGTAATGATTGACTGAAAATAATATTATTCTATTTTTAGTGGCAGTGCAAAGAAATATTTACAAATTTCCCGTTATAAATAACTAAATAAACCAATATACCTTTAATTGAAAATAACAAATCACACCGTGTATTTTAACTATGTAACACTTTCCATGTTGATTATTTAACTATTTCATTATTCACAAAAAATTTAATTACTAAAAGTTTATGTTATTAATTTATTAAATTTTTTTTTTATTTGGAAGGTGATAAAGAATGTTTACAAAATTTATGATCGTTATTTTTTTAAAATTATAACCGGAAAAAGTAGAAAATAAATTTTAATAAATAAACGGTGTAGGAAATATAGCAAAACTGTCATTTGATTTTTTCCAAATATTATTAAATAGATAAATGAAAATTCTTAGATGTCATCATCTATTAAATAAGTCACGTTCAAAGAATTTTCCTATTAGAAGAAATCAAGTAAATTAATATATGATATTTTATTTTGCAGCTCAAAAAAGAATTTCTTTTTTATTTTAGGTTGAGGTTATAATTTTATACTATTTTGAAATTTAAAAAATTTTCAAGTATCCATTCATAAATTTTTATTTCTTTTTTTAGTATTTCCTTTTATCTATTTTTACCAGTAAAGTTTAAAAGACAAAACAAATGTAAATATTGTCGATAAAAATATACAATTTTTTGGTAAAAATAAAACTAAAAAGTTGTCATGTTAATAGAGTAGTCAACATGTCGGTAAAATAGTGTCGTCAAGATACTTGAATTAATATAAAATAAATTTATGAAATAAAGAGGTGTAACAATCCTGCTTTCTGTCCCGACTTGGGGATAGGGTCAGGGACAAGAGTGCCATGACGCCCCCCTTTTGGAGGGGAGTCTATCCCTGCCTAGCACCATATGACTCCCCTATCTTCAACCCTGTCCCCGAATCGGGACAGGGGGCTTTATTGAAAAAATAATACTAAATGATTGAAAGAGTAATAGAAAAATTGTAAAGAGTAATAGAAAAATTGTAAAGTATTACGTAATCAAATATATAGTGCGTGATTTGTCATGTTCAATTGGGAGTATTTTGGTTTGTTAACTATTTATTATGGTAAATTTGTAAAATAACTCTTTTTTCCCTTACAAAATATGGTTTTGCTACCAATAATTAAAATACAGTATAAAAAAGAGTAATGTTATTCATAATCGCTCACTGCATTAATCGCCCTTCGTGACATCCTACATGATAGTTTGTAATTTGATATATTAATGTGGTAATTTTTTCTTGCTACATATATTAAATAACTAACCGTTGCATGCATATCACGTAGGACAACTACGATAATGAGTGACTGTAAATAAAATTATTTTATGAAAATTGCAAAATATGGGGGGTAAATTGTAGGGTTTATCTTGTAAATTGTCCTTACAAAGGCATACAAATGACAATGATGTAATTCTTCTATGCTAACAATGAGTTTGTTGTAACCAATTGAATAAGTTCTTTACAATATCAATTGGTCTGGATTTTTTTTATGTTGCCTTTCAGTCATTAAATCCTCTCAGTGCTTTGTTAGTGGGCCATTTGTCATGTTTAAGTGAATTTATGATTTGATTCCCACTTTTATTGAATCAAAGCTTTTACATTTTCAATGTAAAGGTGTCAAGTACGTAAGCACATTATCTTAAAATATGTTGATGCTTTCATTTGACGCACAATTGATTGTGAACTGCTATTGCAATTTGAGGATTGATAATTTGGGTCTTTCTATATCAAAAAAAAAAAAAAAAAGTTTGAACTCCAACCTTGAGGGTCCCCATCGTCCATCCCTAGATCTTTGTGAGGAAGGTAAATCTCGGAATGTGTCCCAACAGGTCATAGGACAAGAGCTGTCTGTATACTGCACCTACAAAAAGTCAAATTCCACGTCTTAAGAATCGAACCCCCACATTGCGGCTGCCAGCAAGGCGTGAGATAATCTCACTCCTGTCCTTTACACTACTGAGCTATGCCCCGAGGGTCTTTGTATATTTATATTGCAATATGTAAAGGTAAGCACATTATCTTAAAACTATTGTTCTATTTTTCATTCTATTAATTAGATGCTTCCTTTAACCTCTCCTTAATTTACACAAATTGCTTATATAAGAGCAGCCACCATCCAATTAGAGGGATGATGATATATGTCTTGCTTCTTTAGACTATATGTTGGATGAACAAACTAAATTACTTCTCCAAATAGAGCTCAACATATTTTCATTTGCAACTGTAAGCTCATTAAATTTGTTATGAACTCAAACATCCATGGTACAGTAATAATTAAAAACCTCTTCTTTACTTTTTGTGGAATTAATTAGTTACATTGTTCAGAGGAAATACAGTTGTAAAAAAATTAATGTACTTGCTTTTTTGGTCTCCGTACATGCATAAATCTGTATTTTACGTTCTTAGGCTTGCCATTTGATTAATTGTTCAATTTCTTTAATGCCTTAAAACAATTTCGCCAATGAGGAAAAAGTGCCCATAATTGATGTTATATAGTTCGGGTATTTTAAGGTTTTGGATAATGGAGTTTTGCAGAAAAATTAGCCGGTGGTTGTTAAGGCTATGATCGTGTGGAAGATTGCTGAGAAGGAAATTATGGAGGCCAATGATGTTGTTTTACTCTTTGCTAAGTTTGTTGTTTTTTAATTTTTTTTAAATGTATTAGATTTTTAAGTGCTTTAGAATTTTGGATTTGAATTTTGTATGGATATTGTTACATTTTGGAGTTCAATTAATAATGATTATTGGAGTTATAAGATATTGTTATTTTTATCATGTTTTGTTATTGATTTATGTAAATTGTTATACGAATAAAAAAATGAAAAATTGAAAAAAAAAAATATAAAATGACACACGGCAACGATAAAAAAATATTGCAAAAAATATGAACATAAGCATTGGCAAAGTACAAAAAACGTTGTGAAAATGTTATTCGCAACTCGAAAAAAATTTACGAAAAAGGTTATTGGCAATGTTCGCTAAACGTTGCGAAAAGGTCAAAAAAAAAGTTGCGAAAAATGTTATTCGTAATGCGAAAAAACGTTGCGAAAAAGATTAATGACAACTTCGAAAAAATGCTGTAGAAAAGTTTTTCGCAACACAGAAAAAACAATGCAAAAAAGTTTTTCGCAACGAGATAAAAGTTACCGTATCCTTCACACTACGGCAAAATCGAGGTTTGCAACATACGGTAAAACGCTGTAAAAGGTCTTTCGCAATATTTTTTGAACGTTGTGAAAGGTAATTTTTGTTGTAGTGTTTAAGAAGACCCTAGTGATCATATATGATTGAGGAGTATGAATAGTTGTTGGAAATTGGTGTATGTGAGGCTCAATTTTTAGTAGATATTTAACATGATTAGTGTTGAGTTAAACATAATATTAAATAGAAATAATCAATTAGGTATACAATATATTAATTAACGGAAGGTCGAGGATTAAAATGTAGCAACTAGCAAGTAAAAATTGGGGACATTAGTGTAACACCATAAAATTCATTGTAAACTGTGACATACATACTTGAAGAGTATACAAGAACTCAAGAGGCCCTATTTATAACTACAAGATTTAAGGATAAATTTAATGTTGATAAGATATCGAAATGATAAATTAAATATAACGACTTACTAGACCTTTTAAGATGAACCCAAACTTAATATCTCTTGTGGTGGAGTTTTGGTTGAATTTAATGGATAAAGTCATATTAAAATTTTATATATTTTCGAAAATATACCGCTAGAAGAGCAAGTTGATCTCCAAGATTTTGAAAAAAGTAAGTTGGTTAAAAATGTCAATTTTGACTCGATTCAAGACCAAATTTGATTAGTTGCAAAATGAATACTTCAGTAGATAAAAAATTGTGACATATTGTTTCAAAATGTTAATTTTTTGTATTGACAACTTGACATAGTCAAATGCCTGGAATAATTTTCTACTAAAACCCCTGAGCTAGAATCAACTGAAAATTACTGATAAATGAAAGCTCGTGGGATGACAAGAAAGGAGATTGGAGTATGGTTCTTGTCATTCTCTGTAGATTAGATAATGTCACTTTATGTAAACTTAAAACTGAGGTGAAAACCATGTAAAAGTTCTTCGACTACAACACAGTCTCATTCGTCATCATGATTCGCTTGTTATTCCTATGACTTGGAACTGTGGCTCTTGTTCCTTTGTCTCTTGAGTTTCTTCAGACTGCACTACTTTTATCTCTTGGTTTTTCATTTCTTTGTTCTTACCCCACAGCAGCATGTACAATCCAGCCATTACAGTGATTGATCCTATTAAACTGCTCAGAAATCAATGGAACTAATCAATAGAACTGATGAATATAGATGAGTCCATATGTCCACCAGTCATTACCTTCCAAGATGAAGTTGTTCGTGTAGGATTGGAACATCAAACATGGCCGCCATGATCTGAACAAGAGGGCTGAATGCTGCCGTGAAGACCGGCCCTCTTTTCTTTACGCACCATGACATTCCCACAATGCACAATCCTGATCCTACCATCCCCTGCATTATTTACATGTACAATTTTGCAGTAAAGAATAATCTTGTTTGTGGAAGTAACTTTAACTTGAAATTATGTTTAAGAATACACTTACAGCATAAATGACAGCGATAATATCTGTTTTTCTGTCCAAATACCAGATGGAGTGGTTCCTGTTAATCGACAAACTAAATAAGGCAGACTGTACTGCACTAAAGAAGGTCATGATAGCGGTACTGGAGTACTGGCAAGGGTATCTATTCCCAATATTTGCTTGAAGAAGGAACCATGAGGACCATAAAAATGTTCCTGCTAACATGGCCAAAGAGCCAATCGTCCACCTTTCACTTCTTTTAGATGAGCTCAGCTTGATAGATTGAGTAACATGTTGAGAACCTGAAAAATGAACTAAAGGTATTCCTCTGTAGACAGTCAATAAGATGGCACCTCCAAGGCACACTAGTGTACCTATCACTTTTGCCCTTCCACTACTGTACTTTAAGTTAATACTCTCCAAACTACGTAACCCACAATGGAATAACAACGAAAGATGAATGAATTTATGTACGAGGCGAAGAAAAATGGGAAATAATTGTGAAAGGAAATGGTGCAAAAGGGTTACATACCGAAAAGGTAATGCCATTAAAAATGTGACTACAGGAACCATATTGACAAAGGCGCATGCGAAAGTTGCAGATGTGTATTCTATACCGACAAGGAATAAGTATTGAGTTAGAGATGCCCTACAAGATCAGGCAACATAGTATCAGAGAGAATTTCTTGTAAATGGGATTGATTGAAGTGTATAAATCAATCTAATCCAACTAACCCGGCAATTGCACTCAAGAAAAGGTGACATAAGATGCTTGATGTCAGTTTAGGTCTGCTCTTCCTACAAGGAAACTTCATTCAGATTATGTAATACATGAACAGCCTCGAGCTCGCTGTTTTTTACACCATAAATTCCAAATTATAAATAAAGCAGCAGAGCACTACCTTTCCAAAAAGAATGCCAATGGAGATAAGAAGATTGTGGAAATTGACTGCCGGTATGTGATGAAGACCAAATGATCCATCCCATCAGTGACGACTTTCTTGAGAAGTATGTTACTAATGGCAAAGGCCAGATCAATCGCTATCATTATGAAAACCGGGTACCAGTTTATGCATTTCTTCATCTTGACCGGTCGCTTGCTCTGTATTTAAATTTTCTATGTTAGAGCCCTAGAAGTTCTCTCTGCAACTTATAACTCTATAAATAGAGCTGGTTTTTCCATATGAGCAAATTCTTCTTCACACTTTCATTGCTTTAAGCTTCCAAATTTGACATTAGTTTAATACATATTCTCTTCTTGATTCTTGACTGGTACCTTCCAATGAGTGTAGAATATAATTGTTTGAGAATCATCTGCAGTCTTGAATAGAAAAGTTAAATAGCCTTGGTCAATCGTCATATCGACCACTGAGTTCTCTGAGAGTGGATTCCCATTCCCCTAATCTGCTGGGAAAATAATATATATAACGTGGGTCAATCCTTTTCCACATGATAATATTTGTTTATATGCATCCATGTTCAGCATCTTGTCAGTGGGGTGGATGATAGATGGTTGGTTTATATCTCTCTGCGCAGCATCTAATACTCCTTTAGATTAACTAATTAGTCAGACAGCATCTTAAGCATTGAAAACAAGAATAATATGTCAAATCTCTTGAAAATTGGATCCTCTGTCAAAGATCGGTAAACGCTTGCAATTCTCATCAGGCTCAGACGAGTCACACGTGCTTTCTTGAAGCTCCGTAGCTAGCTAGCAAGCATTCACTGAAGATATTCAGTTCCATCTCCTATTAAAACAGGAAGGAGAATAATTGATTAGTTAATTTAATTTAATTAAGGTTGTCATGTTCTCAACTTTTAGCTAAAGCTCTCTAAAAATGTTTTCAATTGTCCACTTGCACAGGCCATAGCACCTAATTCCCATCAGGATTCTACCTCTAAAGAGCAACTTGATGATATCTTACTGCTTTCATCATCAAGAACTTTTGGCACGATCTTTCTGCTAAATCAACTTTTGGACAGCACTTGGAGTTGTCTGCATAATCACATTATTAACTTGTCAATCAGTACACAAAAAGAAAGGAAGAAGGAATAAATAACTTCAATCAGTTCATTTGGAAAACAACTAACAAATCAAAGGGAGAATTAACAAGTTTTTGCACGTTCTATTACAAAATAATATTCACAAGGACATTTAGTATCTGAATTCACTACAAGATTTTGTTGTTTTTAGAGTTTGAAGTTACTCCTTCGAAACCAATCCGACAGAATCACCTGAATGTAAAGAATTGATCAACAGGATGTAAACAGTAATTCGAGCCCACCGACTTCACAATATTTCCTTAAAACGAATTTGCTGCCTTCAATGGTGCTAAAGGCGTCCACCAATCATTTCTCAGGATAGAACGAATTTTCGTCTCCTACGGAAGCAGCACTGCAATCTGCAGGAATTTCAACAAACTCAACGAAGTGTGTTTTACTTCGAGATAATATCAGAACGAGAGAGAAGGGAATGAGATTCAAAGCACAGAAAGTTTGCAATGAAAATGGTGTAAATTTTCTGGTAGAGAGGCTGGCTATTTATAGACTTGTTCGTGGCCATTCGAACAGTCATCACCTTTCAGACAAACCTCAAAATCCGAACAGACATGCTATTTTTAAAAATCGCGTCTGTTAAGTCGGTTAACAGTCGACTGTTTGGTCGATAAAGAGACGACTGTTAAAAGAAAATAAAACACTCGGAATCAGCCAAAATTTAAATTTCGTAATGTACCCAAGAATTTGATTATTTACAATTTGGCCCAAAATTTTAAATAAATTTTGTCCAAAAAGTTAATATAGTGCAAAGGTCCACCCGCACCCGTACCAAATCGGACCGGACTTAGACACGGGCACGTGCTCGTGCCGTGCCGAGCCGAGCCAAGCCGACCGGTCGGACGGACGGCAGCGACGGGGCGCCCGTGTGGGTTTATGACCGAACCCAATAAAATATAGGTCTTCCCTTCCAAAGACTATTGGTACCCCTTGGGGTTCAAACCCAATTCCGAACTTCCACCTTATAAACCATACTAAAGTTTCCTAACTTTCCTATGTGGGATAAGTTTTTGAAAAATCAAATTCTTCCATAATACTTAGTTTATGTGGGTTACTTTAACACTTAATATTTCATTCAATTTTAAATAGTTTTTGATAAATAAATATATCACGTTAATCATCTCGTGGAGTAGAACGTGAATATGCTAGGTCCCGTATTAATTAAAAGGTGGGTCCTACTGAAATTCGGGTTCAAAGTTGACCCATTTCATAACCATTTTTTCCAACAATCCTCCACATGAATAAAATATGTTGGCATTATTCCAAACGATAACATCTGATATGTTTTTCAAAGAAAAAATTGAAGAAGACTGCATCGAGATAAGTAGTCAATGACTTTGAACTTTCCCTAGTAAAATCTATGGGATTTCCTTAGCCAATCAGTAGCAAGTTGCTTTGAATAGTCAGCTGTTTATGGAAACCAAAACAATAGAAGTCACACAGTTTTCTTCAAACACAGTTGATTCTCACGTTTGTGTCCATTTTGGCCTTGGACACCTCCTGGTTCATGAGTGGTTTTTAGAGAATTCATCTTCACCTAATTCTCTTAGAAGCGGCCCCTTCTCACTCACATAGGTGATTTCCATAAAGAGTATTCTGTTATACTCCACTTGAACGAATCAATATATAGAAATCATTAAAAGAGTATCTTAACCTATTTCACGGCAGCTGGGCACTGACTCATCATAGGAATGGGTAGAAGTAAAATATTCTCAGTGCATACTAAGTTTTTCACAGTTCGGTTGTCCCATTGAACCTAGATCTTGGGATCTCCAGTCAACTAGGTTGGGTTGCCACCATGGAAACTTTTGATTATTTTATTAGTTTTAATCTCATCCCCTTCGATGAACTTTCGACTTGCTCTCTTGTTAAACTTTTAGTTAGCGGATCCGCAGTATTCTTTTTTGATTTCACATACTCTATAGAGATAATGCCTGTAGAGAGCAATTGTCAAACAGTATTGTGTCTACGACGTATATGTCGAGATTTACCGTTGTACATTACATTTTGTGCCCTACCAATTGCTGATTGAGTATCGCAATGGATACATATAGCAGGCACAAGTTTTGTCCAACATGAAATATCTTCTAGAAAGTTTCGTAGCCATTCGACTTCTTCTCCGACTTTGTTTAATGCAATGAATTCAGATTCCATTGTTGATCTAGCTATACATGTCTGTTTTGAAGATTTCCATGATATTGCAGCACCTCCAAGTGTAAAGACATATCCACTTGTTGATTTGGAGTCTTTAGTATCTGATATCCAATTTGCATCATAGTATCCTTCAAGTATTGTTGGATATCTCGAATAGTGCAATCCAAAATTTTGAGTATGTTTTAAATACCCTAAAACTCTAACAATAGCCTTCCAATGATCAGTGTTTGGATTACTTGTATATCGACTTAGCCTACTAATTGAATAGGCAATATCAGGTCGAGTGCAATTCATGACATACATTAAACTGCCAATAATACGAGAGTATTTCAATTGAGACTTACTATCACAAGTATTGAAAACAAGATGCATACTATAGGTGTTTTCATAGGAATAATATTATATTTCTTGAATTTATCAAGAATCTTCTCAATGTAGTGGGATTGAGACAATATGAGACCATCAGATGTTCTAGAAATTTTAATTCCTAATATAACATCAGCCACACCTAAATCCTTCATTTCAAATTTACTTGTTAGCATCCTTTTTGTAGTTTGAATTATGGTATCATTGTTACCCATAATCAACATGTTATCTACATATAAACATACCATGATATATCCATTTGGAGTGTTCCTGATATAAACACATTTGTCACACTCGTTAATTTTAAAACCATTTGACATCATAACCATGTCAAATTTTTCATGCCATTTCTTAGGAGTTTGCTTTAATCCATATAGTGATTTAACAAGTCGACACACTTTCTTTTCTTGTCCTGAGACCACAAATCCTTCAGGTTGCTCCATATAAATTTCTTCATCTAATTCCCCATTCAAAAATGTCGTTTCAACATCCATTTGATGTATATCTAAACCATTCAATGCTGCTATTGTAATAAGCATACGTATGGATGTGATTCTTGTCACAGGAGAATAGGTATCGAAATAATCAAGACCTTATTTTTGCTTGTAGCCTTTAGCGACAAGTCTTGCTTTATATTTGTCAATTGATCCATCTGCTTTCATTTTCCTTTTGAAAATCCATTTACATCCCAAAGGTTTATAACCGGGAGGGAGGTCTACTAATTCCCAAGTATGATTTTGTAGTATGGATTCAATTTCACTATAAACAGCTTCTTTCCAATATGAAGCTTCGGTTGATGACATAGCCTCCTTAAAACTCTGAGGTTCATTTTCTAACAAATATGTTAGAAAATC